TATTTGGCATAAAGTTGTTTAATATTTAAATCACATAAGAAATGTTCAACTTGTTTTCCATGGTAAATTGATTTGACTAAAGCCTGCTTCCGGTAGGTACGAAGAGAGGAAAGTTAATAATGTTTGTTAAATGTAACAATATTATTTTGGGATGTTTCTCTCGAATGACTTTCAGATTCCAAAACTTTGCAGATTATTCTTAAGATCTTTCTTCAATGGAATTAACTCTTACTGCTCCATAATATAAGATATATCGAAAATCAGTGGTGATATCATTGTATATCTTCTGTGAAGATATACAGTTCTTTTCAATAACGGACAATAGCATTTGTGTATCTTACCCCTGATATTAGCTTGTATAAATCACTTTCAAAATTACCAATTTTGATTATTAGCATTTTCATATGTAATAAAAAATTTATCAATTTTATTATTGCCGATCTTTGTTTGCTGGTGCATGTTCAGCTATTGATATTCGATTCCGTCAGGAACTCCTGATTTTGCAATATTTAAATCCAAAAGAGAGAGGCATTTTCCTAACATAAAAATGAAATTATACATTGTTTCTAGTGTATAATTAATAGATATTTAGTTGATTAAAATTAGATACACAAAATAAATTATTCTGTGCATAATTCGTACTTTTATTCATATTCCCTAGCATTTATAAGCTGATTAAACTGGTGGAGATTCTGATAAATATTACTTGGAAAATTCTTTTAGTCCATACCTTAAGAACTTCATTTATAGTATAAGTTAAAATGTAGGTATGTTAAAATGTATTTTCCTACCTATGACACAAAGTAAATTTTACAAGGATGATATTTTTTATTTAAAAGCAGGTTTTATTTTCTTAGAGATTAAACGTATCTCTCGATGATATAAATGTTAAAATATAAGAAAATGAAAAAACAATACTAAAAAAATCATTCCTATTAAGGAAGAACATATTGAAATAATCAGAGACTGAAATAATGCACGGCTGTTACACAAGAATATTAATTACTCAATAAATATTTTATATTGATTGCTGCATAGTATCCAGACTCGTCGGGACTTCGGCGATTCCGGATTATAGATCATCAATTTAAATCTGGTAAGATGGCATGCAAAAATTATACAATTAAAAATATGAAACCATAATTTATTCAATAATTAGCAATTATGATCTAAAGGGTATCAAAATTTACGAAAAAAGTTTAATATTTATTTCTTTATTTTATTAAACATTTTTTCAATGTAAGTTGTTTAAGTTGCTTCGTTTTTTTGTGCTGATACTTTATCTTTAATTCTATAAACATACATAAGTTCTTGTTCAGTTACAAAGTTCCACTGTTCAAGTCCTGTAACTTGCTGTGTCGAGAATGCCAACTAACTTGTCAATCAAAATTTTTTCGTTTTCGTTTCGTCTCTGTCACTTTCTTCACTATCGGAAGCGCGCATGGGTAAAAGCTTTACGCACATGTGTAGCGGACGCGCGCATTAAACGCGCATGCGTAAGTTTGTGACTTTGAGGTCCGGATTACAGATCGTTCCGGATAATGGACGTCCGGATTACAGACTTTGTACTGTACATATAAACAAACATAATTATACATTATATTGCATAACTTAAAATTTAATTTACCTACATAAAGCCATTCTGCATATCAACTGCTGATACATGTTTTAGTAAATAATTTTCCGAATTAACTATCACAACTGTAGCATTTAATATATTTCACTTTTTGTAATTCAAAATAAATATATTACTCTTATTGCACATATATTAAAATGGAGATGAAAAATGGTTGAATCTTTACATTATGGTAACTTGGCGATTTTTTGGCGAAACTTTGGCAACAGACCCTGCTACAGCAACCTGCTAGTTTTTTTTGGGGGGGGGACGCCAGTTTGCTTTCACGAAGTAAACTCAACATTTTTTCCAACAATCTACTAGCCGAATTACGCTTATGCTAGAACTTTTATGCAACAAAAGTGCTTAATCATAACGAAGATTAGGTGCGAAATTAAGAGAAAGTGTAGAATCGCCCACTGCTTGCCGCGTTTTTAAGAATTGCGCATATACACGGTATCCATGTACTTGTCGACCTATTTTCACTTAAAAAAACCATCCCAGAATTGCACAAAAATGGCATTGCGCACACTCTTGACTTTATCCATGTACATATCGACCTATTTTCACTTAAAAAGTCAAAGAAAATTGACAAAAATCGAATTCTTCTTACTCTTGTAAAAAGCGCCAAACAAATAAGTGGGCGATTCAGCACTTTAGCAGCGAAATTATTTCTAAGTGCTTATTAGCTAAAATCCCCATTGGAATTTTCCGAAAAATGTCCCGTTACATGTGTCATAATCTCTCATTTCTCTGAGACAAAATAATCTGTGATTCGAACTATGTACTTCTCAGATTATTGCTAAAGTCCTAGCTAGTAACCTTTATCGCCTTACCAAAATGTCGCGAAACTACCTGTTACCATATTCTAAGGATTAGCCGAAAATGCATTATGAAGTGAAAACTTGATAAAAGTAGGCTTGAAATTAAAAGTTTTGAATTTTGCACAGAAAATCTGTAAAAACATGAAAACAAAATATTCTACTTTAATGCCATCTTATGATGAAGATTCATAACTTTACAAGGTATTTTACCACTGATTTTAAAAAATAATGCTGTGAAAATTAGTACAAGATATTTCTTTTGGATAGCTTATATACATAGTGGGCTAATCTTTGGAATATGGTAACAGGTAGTTTGGCGACATTTTGGTAAGGCGATAAAGGTTACTAGCTAGGACTTTAGCAGTGTACATGGATAAAGTCAAAAGTGTGCGCAATGCCATTTTTGTGCAATTCTGGGATGTTTTTTTAAGTGAAAATAGGTCGACGTGTACATGGATAACGTGTATGTGCAAATCTTAAAAACGCGACAAGCAGTGGGCGATTCTGCACTTTCTCCCAATTTCGCACCTAATCTTCGTCATGATTAAGCACTTTTCTCCATAAAAGTTCTAGCATAAGCGTAATTCGGCTAGCAGATTGTTGGAAAAAAAATGTTGAGTAAAAAAAAAAAAAAAAAAAGCCTTTACTTCGTGAAAACAAAATGGCGTCCAAAACAAAATTAGCAGGTTGCTGTAGCAGGGTTGGTCGCCAAATTTTAGCCAAAACATCGCCAAGTTACCATAATCCAAAGATTAATCTCATAATGTAGTAATAATATAGCAGTAACGCAACAGCCGAAGTAAAATCTTTTGAGACGCAAAGTTTCATTTTCTGCAAATACACAGAAGTAAGAGGAAGAAGCAGTATGTCCAACTTAAAACAATTTAGGTGAAACTGACTGTAACGTTTTTTCAGCATCAGCAAGAACCTAAAAAAAAAAACATAATTGGGGGAGAACAAATTCAATAACATGTATAATAATGGACTTTTTTTATAACAAAAAATTTCATTGCCAGAATAAGTCATATAACATTCATACAAGATGAAGTGCCTCTGCATACCAAAAATCCTGTCCTGCATCTTCTATAATCGACATATGAAAATGTCCACGCCCTGAATTGCTCTAACATGCACGAATAGCCAAACAAGGTCTCTACATGACTTAGTACTTTTGACTATGGCTATTTTAAACCGCAGGTATAGAAAGGTCAGCTGATATTACTGACCATGCTGAAACAATTTTTTCCCATCATGCGACATGGAATTATAGCTGAACTTCCTTCCATGAATACCCTCTACTGGTATGACAACCACCATACTTAGTACATGTTCTCTTAGTGGCAGTGTGAACTGTACTGCATCACTATACGAATTAATATAACTGACATGTCAGTCATTGACTACATGTCAGTGAAATATGTAACTATTCTGACATAAAATCTGGCAGTTAAAACAGCAACCAAGCTCTATATGAGCAGTCTGCTAATGTGTTAGAAACCAAAAAATACTCCTGTTGAATAGCTATAGTCTTTCTGAGCGTTTCATATATTAAGAAAAATATTTCATCCATCCTCAGCTTACTCTTAGAAACGATGACGCATATCGAATTGACTTTGAGATCCACATTCCTGCCGTAACTTTCCTACATACCCGCATAAAACCATTTGACTTTTTTATTTTAAATTTCATTTCAGAATTACATTTCACGCATGCAAATTCCCTCTTTATTAAACCTGCCTAAATAACCTCTTTATTAAACCTAAATTTCTGCAGATTTGTATATACATGCGAGATCTTGATATGGGTGGGGGTTTAATTTAAATAATTAGAAGTATAAGATCCATATGGATGACTATTAAGAACAGGTAAGAACCAATGCTTAATAAAACAATAAGGAATGAATAATTGAATTTAAATGAAATACAAATGAACAAAAATATTAATAACATAACAAAGGTTGTAAGTTAAATTATTGATAAGCAGGTAAATAATAAACTAAAATACAATAACATTCTAATGCAAATGGAAAGTAAATAACTTGTTATATTAAAAGTAAAGTATTAAAGACAACTGAATAATAAAATCAATCAATGGCAAGTAAAGTAATAGCAACAAGGTATGGCACCGAAAAATAAAAGAAAGGTGAGTATTTTGATCACTATTCTTCGAGCTCAGAAAAAAACCTGCTTGTTATGTTAGTTTTAATCCATTTAAAGCTTTGATTCTGTAGACAGGTACACAGCGCAATGGTTCCTCTTCCGGCAAGAATCGCTATTTAACATGCTGAGCTTTCTTTCTCAGCTACTGAGGTTTTCCAAAAGTAAAGCATTCATTCAATAGTTAGTATCAATATCAGTTTCAATAAATGCTAAAGAAAATATTGCCTTTATCATGTATTGCGGTTTAGTTGTGCAACAAAGTACCGGAGCTCGTCTCATTTAGGACTCCGGCAAGAAATACGATTTAGATTTTTCGAAGTGGGATCCTAAGGGTTCAGACTAAGTTTGGGCCATGATGAGATCAAACTCAACAAAAGTTTCTCACATAAAATATTTTTTTAGAACCCACCTTTTATGATGTACAAGACTGAAGAAAACAAAACAGGAAATGATCAGTTTGAAGGATACTGTAAAGATTTGATTGATATGTTAGCGAATGAGCTGTCTTTTGAGTACGACCTAAAGTTGGTTCCAGATGGCCAGTATGGCAGCTATGAAGAATCAGAAGGAAGATGGAGTGGAATGATAGGAGAATTAATTCAAGGTGTAAGTTGCAAAAGGCTCTTTTACAAACTACTGATGCATGTGATTATTTTTCAAAGTATCTGAATTTCTAAGTAAAAAACTGAAGATAGTAAAGTAAGGTGTTTTGCGCACGATATGTGTTTAAATTAATTTGTAATTTAAAGTTTTTCGCATTAAAATCATTTTTAGTGTTACTGTACGTTTATTTTGAATTTGTAATAATATTTAATAAAAATTTATTTGCTTATACTGTCTCATTGTAAAGCGAGAAATACAAATTGGCTGGCGTACATTTAGAGGCTAAATAAATTAGATGACTGAGGCCTTCAGTGTTCATTCATTTGCCGTATATTCAGATAAAAAGTACCTGATATCTGATATCTGGTATCTCTGCCGTGCATTTCAAATCTTTCTTTTTAATATTTTAGAATTAGCATTTTGTCAATCTGTAGTACATTTATTAAAGTTCATTTTAGAGAGATGTAGATAATTAGAACGTAATTTTAAGCTCTTAGAACCATAATTCATTAGAGATTCTACTTTGAGTGTAAAAAAACAGAAATGTAATTTCCGTATTGATTGAAAACGTAATATTATTTGCTAACATGCATGATGCTGAAACATGAAAGTACGAGTAGTTGAGAGATAAAATATACAGTGTGCTTATTTGAAGAATTGTAAATATTAATCATCATAAAAAATTGCTTACCACCTTTCTCTAGGGGAAAAAAGGGCGGAACGTATAGACAAATAAACTGTACTTTTCTAAAAGCCTCAATTTATATTTGACATAAAACAGGAAATTCCGTGTCACCGAAAACTATAATAAAAAAAGGTCATCTCCAAAACTTATGTCATTACTTTTGCTTATACCTTCCCTCCACGATGTAAAGCTCCATGATACCGCTTTCTTCTTAAATGGACTGACTAAAAGACTAATGATTATATTTTACAGATTGATTCGATCACATCATGGAAAGCCTGCTAATATAAACCCTTTATATACATTAAATCAGCTCTTCGGTATCTAATTTGTGAAGGGTTATAGGGTTTCCTTTAATTTGAATAACCAATTATTTTAATTTTGGTGTTTTCTGAATTTCTTATTTCCCCTCACATTTCCTCGCCAAAATGCAAATTAAGTTAGACGAAACGAGAATGTCTGACAGAGCATGATTTCGCTAGTGTAGCGCACGTTTGCTGTTTTGTCCTCCAGGTGTTAATTTTAGTTGCGTCTACACACTCTGACCGTTTATCAAGTCTGTCGCCGATGTAGGTTGCTGAGTCATCCTGTTAGCTTTAATTAAATTAGCACTATTATTTGCCCTTTTGCGTTTATTGTTAAATTATCCTTATATTCTCACTGCAAATAGTCGGTGTTATGGTGAGCACGAAGTACATACCTTTTTTGTTAAAGAGTTTGAGAATAAAATGGTTATTTACACTTTACAGGCTTACTATTAAGATCGAGTCACCTGCATGATAGCCAAACCAGCAAGCTCTGACAGGGTTAGACGTTAGTAACAACAATGTGCTGATCATAAACTCTGATAATATTTTGGAATTGAGAGCCCTTTTCCAAGTTTCTAAAGTAAATAGTTTATTTTGATTCATATTAAACGTCTGTCGAACTAAAAAAAAAAAAGGAAATAGTTTATTTTGATTCATATTTGACGTCTGGACAAGTAATGGACGTTTTAGAAAGTTCATTACTTGGTAAGACATCTGAATCAAAAGAGGGTTTTAATGAAGATATGAAATTCATTTGTAGAAACATTAGGTATGTTTTGAAAGCAGACAAGATGAAAAATAGCAAACGCCTTCGCCCGGAATCGAACCACGGACCTCTGGAATACCGGCCCAGCGTGCAGAACCACTACACCACGAAGGACGCTAGGAAAGTGGGAGAAATACCTTATATACTCCCCTTTTTAAAGGGAGATTAGGGTTTTAGGGAACCTAGTCGCCAAATCTTGGGTGCGGAGAATCATCATCCACAACTCTTTTAGTTCGGGCGCCACTTTAGAGTCATTAGGTTTATTGGAAGCAGAAAAGATGAAAAATATGCAACCGCCTTCGCCGGGAATCGAACCACGGACCTCTGGAATACCGACCCAGCGTGCAGAACCACTACACCACGAAGGACGCTAGGAAAGTGGGAGAAATACCTTATACATTAATAATGAATATAAATGAGATAGAGGAAGAATTTGAGACATTAAACTCAAATGAGGTTTTAATAATATATTCCCTCATCTCTACAGGATAAGATCAGTAGGAGATGTTCCTCCATCTCATACAGACATTAGACCCAAAGGATGGTTTCATCGAAAACGAGAACTTCATTAAAACACTCTCTTCGTATGTAGTAGGAGATGAATAAAAAATAAGTTTCTATATACGAGCATTTGTTTATTTGGATAGTGAAGATGCTTCCCATAAAGCAGGCAAGCCGTGGTACTTTCTGCTGATTCTAAAACGTGCTTGCTTAACTCAGTCAATTGCCTGCGATCTGCAGTGACAGGACAGTTTTTCAACTTTAACATGAAATTATTTTACTGTCCAAGTGGTGAAAAAATGAAGATCGTCTGCTCATCTCAGTTCAGAGAAATCTAATCATTTCTACAGAAATGAATGACGGAAGCTCCATTTTGGTCTTAATAATTAAGAATGAAAATCTGCAGAGCAGCAATTTTGGTTGGGTAACGAAATAACTATCAAGAGTTTTAGTTAACTTTAATTATCGGTACGAAATTTTTGCCCACCTTGGTTTCATCGAAAAAAGCCGGTAATGACCAGTATACTTTTATGATTCCTTCTCTTCATATTTTAGCTGCCTCATGAGTTATTTTAAAGTGCCGCCCTTAGTGCCCGTTGTCCTATCTATAGGACAGTAGAATTTATCTTTGTAAAAGGCCTCTTTTCAGAATATTGGAACTTTATCTTCTAGGAAACTGAAATTGCACACGGCAAAGGCATGTTTGCATGTTTAACTTGGACTTGCATGTTTAACGATAACTCATTTAATTATTTCGTAGCATTTGAGGTTTTGTTGCAATTATTTCGTAGCATTTGACTTTTCCCATGTGTAACGTGAATACAAGCCAGTTTCCATTAAAACTTTCTCCACAAAGGCAGTCTTACCCTTAGGTAGATAGCTGTCGAGTGCTTTGTCATAATCTAAATTATAATAATCTTACTGAAGTAAAAGTGCTTGAAGAAGAAAGTACTTGCAGAAGTAGATAGACACTGACTCAATAGTTTATTATAAATAAAATCTTTTTGTTTCTTTCTTGAGGATCACGTAAACGGCATATTATTTATGAGCCGCATTTTTCAGCAATCTGACTAAAATGAATATGATTTCTTTATTTCCAGTCAATGGTTTTAAACTTCCCTCTGCAAGTTATTATTAAAACATGCATGTTAATGTTTTGGAAGAAGCAATCTCAAACACTCAATTCTTTGTCTAAGCTTGCTTACTGTAGTGGCAGAATGTTTCATAAGTCTATAAAGCATATTTTATGTTAATTAACCCATTTTAATTATTAAATCTGAGCTATAGCTTTTCGTTTATTATTAGGTTAATTTTTAGTAACTGAAGCATCTAAACTGAGTTGATCAGAAATATTATTTAATTATTGATACATCATTTCATTAAATAACTTCTTTTATCATCTGATAAATATTTTTTAAAGATGAATTTTATTATTACTAATTAGAACATTTTTAAATGCAAAATTTTGATGTTTTTTGTGAAACATGTTATTTAAATATCTCATTATGATTACATGGTTTCAATTTTCAGAAAGCCGATTTAGCTGTTGCTGATTTGATTATCACAGGACAACGACAGCGCGTTGTGCAATTTACCGATCCTTTTGAAATGGCTGCGTTTAGTTTAATATTGAAGAATCCTCATGCTGTTCCCTCTTCTTCAGCGTATTTCATTTTAAATGCCTTTTCACCAAACGTTTGGATCTGCATCTTTGCAGCTTTCATTCTCTTCGCTTTGCTGTTTCACGGTATAACAAAATTTACAGGAGCTCCTGATAGTATCGAATCAGCCTCCGGAATTTGGGGAAGAAAGCTAACAATCATTGCGAATGTGTGGTTTACAGTAGGTAGTTCTGTGATGCAAGATACAGGTGTTTATCCAAGGTATTCATTTTTAAAAAACATTTTACTTTATTTTTGTAAATTAATTTATTATTTCAAGTTATTTTGTTCAAGTTATATTTATACATGTGTTATAATTTGTTTTACAAAGTATGTAATAATGTGTTATTTGTTTGTGTAGCTGATAAATCTCACCAGCTTCTAGACTTTAAGTTCATATTTAAGTAGCACCACTAAGCCCTGTTAAGCCTGTAATGGCGGTACAGGAAGTTCAATCAGTCATTGTTCAAGTTATAATTTTATTTTTTATTCTTTTATTTTGAGGTTAATTGTTTGATTTACCCTCTCTTTGTAAAATAGCTTCCATGCTTCATTATAAGGTTTACTATTTATTTTAATAAAGAAATTCACTCCCAGGTCTAAAACACCACTTTTATTGATCTTTTAACAGTAAAATTACTATTCTTAAAATTACAACTCGAAAACCTAGCATATTCCGTAGTTCTAAATGTACTAAAAATTACTTCTAAGTTCCAAATAATTTCCAAATATTAATCAAAGTTAGTGCAAAACAATAAAAATAGAATTGAAATCAAATTCATGGGTGGATACTAGTAATTAAATTTCTTAATATATTTTTTTTCAGATAGATAAAATATAGAAAAGTTCATGCATTATTAATGTCTCCCTGTGATCGTTTTTTCATATTATTTGCAGGAGTTTTACTAAATTTAATGATGGACTCGAAACTTGACAGCATTTTGAAATTTCTGATAAACCTGAGTTTTATAAAATCCGGTTTTAGTTTTCAGAAAATATAATACCAACGAAGAAAATGAAGTTAATTTCAGTTTTTAATTTTGCTTGCTTCTGAATTCTGTCTTCTATCTATTATACATAGAACAAGAGGAGAACAAGAGACGTTATTTACAAGAAACAGATAAAGAATGACAAATCCACAAAATTTTCTGTAACATAAAGCAAGCTCGCCATCTACACAGTCTTTTTTAGGAATTTTGCTGCTTCATGCAACAATATATTTTGGTGCCATTCTGCTAAAATACTGTTAGAATGACCTCTTAAACGCCATGGGATAAGCTTCAAAATTTGAGCATAGATTACAAATAGTACGTTTTGCTACTAAAAATTGATTAATTAATGAAACATTATTATAAACTATATTTAATAGACAAGAAACTATAATTAAAGACAGAAAATAATGCATGGCTTAGATGTAATTCTCGGTATGAGATGTAAACTGAAAATTTGATAAATCCAAACGCGTAAGTATGACATATATAAATATATATCAGATTTTTAGAAGGTGAGTCGTATCTTAGCATAAATTATTTACTATACTTTTACTTTTAAAATGTAAGCCTACTGATTAAAATGATTAAAAGAAAACTTTTATTCGGTTCGATTCATAGATGACACTGTTATAGTTTAATTTTTGACCGATTTTATGTTCAATGTGTAAAGTCTATGTCGCTTTGGAAACATACAATGTAGACTTTAAAAGGACTATTGAAGAATTACCTTCAAGCCTTGTGAAACAAAACAGGAATCAGAAGAAGGGTGCAAAGATCCTTTTATTTAAACATAAAATTAACAAACGACCCAACTTGGGTTACAATAAGCCAAGCACTTTTGTCTTAACAGCACTACGGAACAATAATAATTTTCAAGGTGTGGTAGATTAGCCTAACGGCTTACAGACTACTTTCACGCGCAGGAAAAGCTCCGGTTTGTAGTAAACCACCAAGACAAAGTTTGAGGGCTAGAACAACTCAACGCCGCTAACGCAAGTCGCTAATAATCACAGCACAACGTGGCCTGGAATAGGCAAACACACTCTAAAATTAACCAGGTTCCGCCAGTCGCCGCGATTAACATGTTAAATGCATGTTGTTTTCCGGCTGTCTTGATGTGCTTGCCTGTGTAGGCGTTTGAAGTAGAGTGATTATTTGGTTAATGAGTCCAGGAATACAGCTAGGATGGATGGAGGATGGGTAAATTGACACATAAAACAGTCTTATAACAGTCCTAATCGATATTAATCGCAGATTGACTTAGATAATACTGATGAGAGCGTATCAAATCAGAGTTCATGGTCGCGTGTATCACGCGATTTGGATTGAATTCATACAAAAGTGCAGTAAACAAAATATATTACAGTGGAATAAATAATAAATGAAGGTATAACATCATATATAATTAGCTGCAGAAGGCAGTCCATGAATCTCTATACAAGTCATAGGTACTAATGTTCAGGAACAGGAGCTACATAGCACAACGAGCAGAGGTCGGGGTCACATGGATGTTCACTCTCAGCAGTGCTGTAACTGAAGAATGCTGTAGGAATCTGCGGGAATTAAACTACGAAAATAAACTATAACTGTATAAAGTAGTTTCATTACAGTAGAAGGACGTTTCATAGGTTAAATGTAAAAATCTCTAAAACTAACTTCCGAAACTCCTGCTTAAATAGCCCTTCATTCTACTTTAATCTGAATAAACTCACGCTATCGCATTTACATTCTGGCATGAAAAGGGTGGATGAAAGGAGTGTAATAGGAAAGTGAAACTTGATGAACTATAAGTTAAAAATAAATAGAAAAACCTCACATCTTTCCCTGCCAGAATTTAAGTACACGAAAAAGACGTCCTTAACGAACTCGTTAAGAGCTTAAATTCTAACTATCTAAATTGCCTAATTTTACCAGAGCCCACCTCTTATAATAAGATTAGATCTTTGAGTGTAATTAAATCTAAAAATTCAAAATTTGTTACAGCACCCTGATTCTTCTTGGTATGTACATATTTTCAGCAGCTCACATCCTTCCAGAAAATCTAGAAGGACCTTTTGGTCCTTGGCAAAAGTTGAAGAAACAGGATATAAAAATAATCACAACTTTTCATTAAATTTTCTTTGCACTTTCATGCCACACATTTATTCCAGAATTAAATCTCTCTTGCCCCATGCTTTCCAGAAAAAACTGGAGTGGGCTAGCGAAAACAGTGTTATTTGCAAATGTGTTTACAGGCATTACCAACTAACCAACTATCTAAGTGTTATTAGAATTTGACACTCGAGACCTCAAAGGCACCCTATTTACAAAACTGCACCTAATCTGTGCTAACGAGAGCGTGATTTAAGTATTGCTTAGAGAGCCTAACTTACTCATGCACACATCTAAATTTACTTTTAACTTAAGTTTCTCAATTCGAAAGTTTTTAGTCACATTTCATTTATGCAATATAATTAAATTCTTATAACTAGGCAAGTCTTTTTAAACCAAATACATATTTGAGAATGCTTTTCCCAAGAAAACAAAATAAAATACATTGAATAACTATAGACTTCAGCTTGCACTTTACATCGAGATTCCCGAATTGCTTTGAGTTTCTTAACATTTGTACTCGAGTTTCCTGATAACAGTCTATTGAACTAAAATTCCATTCTTATTTCATGATTACATTAACATAAACACCTAAAAGTATAATTTAACTTCTGAGCCATTTTGCTCGTTAAATGAACTAGAATAACCTCACTTGAGGTAAAACGTAAATGAATTTAGCAACTACTCCCCCTAGACACAAAATAAAACTGAACTTTACTAAGGTGAAATTAAAATTGGACTTATCTTTTCGATTTTTAATACTCTGCGTACGTTTCTTCAGAAATTGGTTCCATGTGGGATAAGACTCTATCTATCGGATTCTCAGTCGTTGATGGCGTTGATTTTCCGGTTTTCGTTGAGCTTCCTCTTCCTTGCTGCCTCTAGAAACATTGGTCTTTTCCTGCAAAGCTGGGGGGGGGTCCGGGGGTTCAATCCCTTGTTTCTGCTTCATTGGACTTTCTGTTGGACCTTCCCTCTTTCGATAGCGCAGTTCGCCTAGCTGGGTTTTCCTTAGCGCCTCTACAGCTTGCTGCTGCACCTCTGCTACTGAACCTCTGCTACTGGACGTTTATTTTTTAGTCGTCCTGACATGGGATCCTCTCCAAACTCTGTGGCTGCTACTAGGGTTTCTTTTCGGTGTTTTCCCTTCTATCGTAGCTCCTTTGGTGGCTGCCGTATCTTCTTGAAATCGCTGCGTATTGGCTCCTTTGGCCTTTTTGCTTCCGTTTAGTTTTTGGCATTTTTCGTCTGTTGTACTCCGCTCATCGTTGCCTTCCATTTGGATGCCGAAATTTCAATTTTCATCTGATTTTGCACGGCGTTGCTTTTACTCGTGGCATCATTATTTTCCTGTAAAATACTTTTAAATATGTCCATTTTATTTCTATGATACTAAGGTTTAATTTGATCCACATTTGCTACCACTTGTTCCCCGTCTCTACGTTTCAAACAGACTACGGATTCTCAAACTCTTTCCACTATATATGGTCCCTGAGACTTAAAACAAAATTTGGCAAATCGCTCGTCGCCCGCCGATGGTTGGGACTACCTTATTTTTAGTACTTCGTCTCCCACCTGATAACTGATTTCTCTCCGCTTCATATCATAATATTTTTGTCCTGTCTAAAAATTCAACTGCTTCATCTGTTGGTTTCTGGATATCTTTCATCTGGAATTCACGAGCTTACGAGTACAAAAAATAATTTTTCCAGCAGTGTAATTAACTTTCGGCGTAAGAATAACTCTGATGGGCTTTTCCCCGTTATCATGCTATCTGTTCGTAATGCATAAGCTATCTCATTGACCCTGCTATCCCAGCGCTTGTGATAATTTCTCACATAACACCATATTATTTTCCTTATGTTCTTGTTTACCCGTTCTGCTATGTTGGCCTAAGGTACTACTTTTAGGTGGCGTATGCCAAGTCCTGTACGTAGCCCTTCAAATATTTGGGAAACAAACTGTTTGCCATTGTCAGAAATTAATTTTAACGGAATTCCGTATTTTAAGATATATTTATTTAAAATGGAATCTGTTACTATTTTTGCTGAGGCTCTTCTCAGGAGGATTATTTCAAACCATTTAGAAAAATGATCTACTGTAACGAGTAAATCAGGATTTTTATTTATTTCGCTCAGCAAAAACTGGTTCAACAAATCGATCCCGACTAATTCGTTAGGAAATGTTGCTTTTATATTTTAAATACCCGGCCGAGTTGCAGTTAATGTCGTTATTTAGCTGGCAAGTATGGCAGGACATACGCAGTTACGAACTTTTGTAACTGCGGAAAATA